AGATTTATTTATTTTAGAGAGAGCGAGTGCAGGAACGGGGGTGGGGGGAGGGGGAGGAGCAGACGGAGGAGGAGAGGGCAAGCAGACTCCACGATGAGCATGGAGCCCAATTCCAGACCAGAGATCATGACCTGAGCTAAAACCAAGAGTCAGATGCTTAACCAACTGAGCCACCCAGGCACCCCCTTTTTTCCTTTTTTATCATCATCGTTACAGCTGTAGTATTGCTCTTAAGGAAAACACACTCCTGTGTGTCTCCTCTACTCCCAGTATTGTGCTCTAACACTACTTCACCTCTGACACTTCTGGTCACCAAATACGTGGGGGGTTTTGCCACACTAGCTGAGTGTCCAATGGCTCAGTTCAGTTCCGATGCTATCTACCTGGAGGTAGCCTCAGTCCCATATGACTGACCCCCTCCCCCGGCACGCCAGATGCCAATCACAAGTCCACGTTGTGACCTGTGCTTCTGACCTGCCAGTTATAGATTGGAGGTTCCCATGACTCGGGAAAACATTTTACGTACTAGATTACCAGTTTATTATAAAAGGAGGTGACTCAGCAACAGCCAGTTGGAAGAGATGCAGAGGGTAAGATAAGGTGCAGAAGGGCACAGAGCTTCCATAGTCTCCACCTGCTGTTCTCCCAGCACCTTTGTGTGTTCACTGAACTAGCAGCTCTCCAAACCCTGTCCTTTAGGGTTTTTATGCAGGCTTCATTACATAGACATGATTGAGTCATCGACCATTGGTGATTGAACTCCCATCTCCAGCCCCTCTCCCCTCCCTAGAAGTTAGGGGTGCAGAGCTTTATTTTATTTTATTTTTAAAGATTTTATTTATTAGAGAGAGAGCACAGAGGGAGAGAGGAAGAAACAGACTCCCCGCTGAGCGGAGAGCCCAATGTGGGGCTTGATCCCAGGACTCTGAGATCATGACCTGAGCTGAGGGCAGACGCTTTAACCAACTGAGCCACCCAGGCGCCCGGGGGTGCAGAGCTTTAGTGCTGAAAGTTCCAGCCCTCTAGTGATGTGGTTGGTTCCCCTGGAAAGCCTCCATGTTTAGGGGCTTTCCAGAAGTCTTATCATTAACATTAACTCAGCCTGTGGTTGAAAGGCGTTTGTTATGATTAACAAAAGACACGCTTTATGGCTCTTCTTGCTTAGGACATTCTAAGGGTTTTAGTAGCACTGTGCCAGGAAAGGGATGGGACAAAGACCAAGTATGTATTTCTTATTATAAATCATAATATCACAGTTGCATGTGGTTGAAAGCATTGTTCCTGTCATTTTACATATGACAGTATGAGGCTCAGAAAGGTGAAGTAACTTCCCCATCTTTTACGTTACTCTTAACTCTCACGTGATGGAGGGTGGGACAGCTTTGTGGATAATACAGCCACATTGGCAGCAACTCTACTCATGTTGATAATGATAAATAATCAAAATCACTGACTCAAGTTACTGAGCTATGAGTACACCAATGAACAGACAAACATCCTGTCAGTTTCTAGGAGTACTGTTTTTGTTTTAGCTTATTTCTAGATTTGTTTTTGTATATTTGCTCACGTATGTGGTTCCTAAGAGTTCTGAACCATGAACATCTCAAGTTTTAGAAAAGTAGTGAGTAATGGATTTTTAAAGCAATTTTTAGCAGTGTCAGTTTTTCTAACATATTATTTCTTTTCCTGTCCCCATGACAGCCTTGGCAATCAGAAGAAGAGGGATCTTGGCTCCGAGAATATCCTGTGACCCTGATGCAGTTCTTTAGATACTTATATCACAACGTTCCCGACCTGGCTTCCATGTGGATGAGCCCTGACTTCCTGTGTGCATTAGCAGCCACGGTCTTCCCCTTCAACATTCGCCCTTACTCAGAGATGGTAGGAAAGGGGACAGGGCGGGGGGCAGGGGGGTATCAAACTGGAAATAGTCTGCTTAGTGGTTAGCAGGATTTTCTTCCCAGTCTTTTAAGCTTCTGACCAAGTTAAAGCCTCACCTCTCAGTTATTCTCTGGTGTCTCCTCCTCACACTCTCCTTCTGCTTTCCCCTAAAATAGCAGTGAACGCTGCTTCCTGTTTCATTTACTGTATTCTTGCAAGTCCCTGGTTAATCACTTCCCTCTCCAAGTCATTGTGGACCCATTTCTTACTTTACGTGCTTATAGCTGTGTCATTGTGAAATGTATCCAGGTTACAGAACTCTGGTCAGACCAGATTTGTCTCCACTTTCTTTATCTCAGGAATTAGGCATCTCCTGGACTTAGTCTTTACAAATTAATTATAGGAGTGGTTGTCTTTATACAAAAGTGAAATCTGTGTTTGTCTTTTTCGTTTAACCTTTCTTACTTTGTTCAGATTTTATTTTTTATATTCTATACTAATTTAATAGAAAATTATTAGACTATAATCATAGGTAGTACAGGTACTTCTGTCCTTTAAGACAAAGCCCCAAAAACAGTTATTACTCTATATACTTTGGAATTTCATGATGTTTTCTCTTATTTCCACCACTTACTCTAGGGCCTGGAATAAACTACCTTGTTCATACTAATTTTTCTTCATGTATAAAGGTGAAAAGCTCATTATAAAACTGTGGGGAATTCTAGGAGAAAGACAAGCAAAACATATGACCTGGCTTGTTTCTAATTTTTAAATCCTAATTTTTTTGGTAAAAACAGACCTTAGGTCTCGACGTCTTTTCCTTGTCAGCAGCCTATAATCTGTCCTCTGGTCCTTCTTTTTTTTCTATTGGCTCAAAATTGGCTCTGGTTTTCTCATTGTTTGGTTTAGTTATCTGGGGTTTTTTTAATTTGCAAAAATGGATCAGCCCTTAGGTGCTACCATTGTGCCAGATCTTTATCTGAAATTCGGTGACATTTGACTTCTCCATAGGTATATTTCAGTATGCAAATATAGTCATTCTCATCATTTCATTTATTTTCGGTGCAGTTCTCCACAATAGAGCTAAAATTCAACATAAAAACAGGTACATGGTTAGTGGCTGGTCAGCTTAATATCAGAAAGAGCATGTGTTAGGTAACTGTGACCTATGGTTCCCAGTTGCTACCTTGAAATGAGAGTCAAATAAGCAAAGTGAAGTAATGTATTGAATAGCTTGATCTGAGGTAAATGTTGAAGAAAAGTACTGTTGCTGCTATAATTTGGTTTTTAGGAAACATGGAAATGAAAATATCACATAAAATCAAATACGACCAGCACATATTTCTGCTTGATTTTACCAGGTGACTGATCTTGACGATGAAGTTGGATCTCCAGCAGAAGAATTTAAAGCCTTTGCAGCAGACACAGGGATGAACAGAAGCCAGTCAGAATACTGCAATGTGGGCACGAAGACCTATCTGACCAACCACCCAGCGAAGAAGTTTGTTTTTGACTTCATGCGGGTCTTAATAATAGACAACCTCTGTCTTACTCCTGCCAGCAAGCAAACTCCACTAATTGATCTTTTGTTGGAGGTAAAGACAAAAAAATGAATTTACATCTCTTTTGTGTAGTTTTTCTAATTAGAACATTAATACCCAAGCACATTTGATGCCAGATACCTTTCAGATTTCATATTCTTCTGGGTTGTACAGACAGAACATACCACAGGCTATGGAAATTTTTTTTATCTCAGATGTGCTATATCCCCTAACGGTTTGTTTCTCTCCTTTCCATTCCCACAAGCGTATCCCTAATTCATCCTTTCCCTAGGCCAGGAATTGACAGACTCTTTCTGTAAAGGGCCAAATAGGAAATATTTCAAGCTTTGCAAGCCGTACAGTCTCTGTTACAGCTGTTCAACTAGATCATTATAGCCAGACAGCAGCCATTGACAGTACATAAATGAATGAGCATGGCTGTGTTTCAGTAAGACTTTGTCTACAAAAACAGACATAGGCTGGATTTAGCCCATGGGCCTCAGTGTGCCCACACTTTCTCTTGACACGGCGGCCTTTTCTCCTCAGCTTATAACTCCCTACTTCCGTCCCTCATTCATTTTATTGCCAGGTATTATTGCTCTTGGTGCCCTGTGCAGCTTAAGACATGGTGCATTGCACATAGTAGGTGCTTAATATGCACTTATTGAATTTTCCCCAAGGCAGCAAAGTTCTGGTTGCTTGCTATTTTAGCTCAGACTGCTATAACAAAATACCGTAGACTGGGTGGCTTAAATAACAGACATTTCTTTCCCCCAGTTCGAGAGACTGAGAAGTCTGACGTCAGGGTGCCAGCTTGGAGAGGTTCTGGTGCCCTCTTCCTGGCTTGTAGATGGTACTAGCTGCACTTGCTGTACTCCTGCATGGCAGAGAGGGAAAGATTCTTCTTACAAGGGCACTAATCTTCTCCTGGGCACTCCACCATCATGGCCTCATCTGAACCCAATTACCTGCTGGTGGCTCTGTCCCTTAATGCCATCACATTGAGGGTTAGAGCTTCACCATATGAATCTGGGGGGACACAGACATGTAGTCCATTGCCCTTGCCCATTCTCCTAATAAATGATGCGAATCAGCTGATGCACCAGAAAATGAGCCCCATGTGGCCACACTGCTGGCTCTAGAAATTGGTCATCCCTGAAAACCAAATTGGTCATTCACCTACAAAAAATCGCGAAAGATCATAGAGAATTTAATATATGATGAGTTGCCTGTACATTCATATTCTTTTGGTCACTTCATATGAGTAGGGTCACGCAGTCAGTCCCTTCCAGGGCTCTGAAAATAATAATGGTCTCTGAAGAGTCAGTCAGCGCAGAAGACTGACTGCTTGTCTCTCTGGGGAACTTCCCACATGCTCCCAGCCATTTGGCATCTGAACCTTCGCTTTCTCTGCTCCCTCTAGTGGCTAACACAGTTAATTTTTTTATTTGAAACCTTAAAACCACAGGAGGTACTGTATCTTATTCCTGTGAAAATATCTCTGCTCAGTCAGTTAAAAGAAATTGCTAATGTAATTCAGGTACCAGTCATGCTGAGGCTTTTAACCGGGACCACAATGTTTAATATTGGCAGAAAAATAATCGTTATCATCAGTAATTCATTTGGTAGAGTTTAAAAGCATGCCCGGTAGAGCTTGTCCTCGTTGAAAACTTTGAGAAGTAAGATGGCTAGTATCTTAGTGTATCGGGTAGGAATTTGAAGCACTCTGTGCAAAATGAAATGGTGATCAGAACATAACAGGATAATAAAGTTCAAAAGAGGTGTGTGCAAAACATAACTGAGCCAAATAATAAAAGACACGTGTGTGGAATATATGGGGAGATATATCCAGTAATAGCATTTTCAGTCTTGTAGGAATCCTAATAGCTAACTCACTAGCCGTGGATAAATGATATAATTGTCTTTTATTTTAGTTTTCTATATTTTTCAAAGAGAAGGTTTGATATAACATGTATTAACCTTGAATTAACGTTCTCATTGTTGCAGATAGTAATTTGCCCTACAGTAGAATTGTGTCTGATTGCACTGGGGAGTCAGGGGTGGCTAGGGTTATATTTCAGGGAGAAGCAGGGAATGTCAAGATTGAAACTCCCAGGTAGATTATAAACTCCTTAAAGTTAGTGACCACCTTTCACATGTCTTTTAATCTCTCACAGAATTAGTACAGTTTTTTGGTGTGTTCTTTTCTGTATTTTTAAATCATTTAACTCTACATCCTGGCAGTTCTTCTCAAACAGGAAGATATGATGCCATCTAATAAGAGAGATACACATTGGCTTTTAAAAATTAACTTCATATTTTGAGGAGCTTCAACTCTACTACATTCTCTGTACAGAATAAACGTATTGCACTACGTGTCTTCCTATGGTGTAAAAAAATAAATGGCAAGCATATGATTTTGAATGTTGGGATTATGAAGTCTTTATCTCTGAAGAAGTTCAAGAAGAGAATTATCCTGTATATTTACCATTTACCTACATGAAGGATGGAGTTTGAACCAACTGATTTTCAGTTCAGCGTATGTGAGGCAGGCCATCTTCAGCCTTACGATTGTTAGAATCTCACCACAAGATTATCTACTTACTTGACTAGATCTACAAAAGAATGTGTGAAATTATCTTTATTAGCAGTTAATAAAAATAAGATTCCCATTCATACAGGCTGACCAGAATGTGACACTGAGGCCAAGTGCAGGGGAGACAGTGTGGCTTAATTGAAAGGGCATGGGTCTGGGAGTGAGAAGTACCTCTTTTGAACTGTGGCTCTGTTATTTATTATATAAGCATTTTCATCTCACGGAGCTCAATCCATTCTCTGGGAAATAATTTATATACTGTCTCCCCTGCATGATTTTTGTGGGAGTTAAATATATGTAAATCACCAGCAGAAACGATCTTGAGAAGTTAAATGTGTGCTGGGGATAGCTGTGTGACCTTGGCCACTCTGAGTTCTCTTCAGCCCTTCTAGTTTGCCCATCTTTCAGAGGGTATAAAAATAGAGCACGTCTCTCTGAGGGCTGCTGTGAGGATTAAATGAGATCCTACATTACAGTTCCTAACCCGGGACCTGTGGCACGGAAGCCTCCCTCAGAAACTGCAGTAGCCTACGCTGGCATCGGCCCGGCTGTCCTGTAGCTCTCCCCCCGCCCCGGGGTCTGCTGTCACCACCGGGCGTCACACGGAGGGCCCAGGGAGTTTGCGGCGCATGAATACCACCATGGCGGCAGGAGGAAAGTGCAAGGGAACAGATAGGAAAGGTTTGGGCTGTACCTGCAGGAAAGATAGTGTGTGCTTGTCTGATGCCGTAAGTACTTTTCTGGGGTCTCCGGAGTTCATGACCCTCTGTTCCAGCCATCTTCTGAGAGACCTTCCCGTTCACAGCAGCGTGCAGTCCACCCTGGCTGACCGTAGGGCAATAAACAGACAAAAAGTGGGAAAAGGGGGCAAAGAGAGCTCTGTAACATACCTGAGAGAAGAGATCAGCTAAGAGGAGTACTTCAGCCAGAAGGAAGAAGCTCAAAACCCTCTTCTTTGAAGGGCTTCAGCCCATGACAGAAACCACATGACACCTGAAGTCTTTCTCCCAGAGCCGCGCTGCCTTCAGTGTGGGCAGCAGACGCCCTGGGCTCTCTGGCCTGTGCACGCGAAGATTCTGCACGGCGTCTGCAGGCTGCAAAAAGGAGGCTGTGATTCTTTGAGTACTGGTGTAGACTGGCCTCACTGTTTCTATAGGGAAGGCACCTGACAGCCACAAGCCAGAGCAGATCATAGTGCTCACCCTATCCTCCTCAGCCCTGAACTCAGCCCAGTTATCTGGTGTGGCCAACCAGGTTTATCTAAAAGATTGACGAGGAGATTATAGCAGAGTTGTTCGTGTGCATCTGTTAACTTCAGTATGGAGACTTTTAGTAAAGCTGGAAGAGTATGCTATAGCAGGTGAGGCCATGAACCTTTGCCATTAAAGAAACTGAGGTTTGAATCCTAGTTGTGACTTAACCACTCTAAGCCTCAGTGACCTTATCTCTGAAATGGGGTGATAGTATCTACTTCAGAGAGATTTTTGCAGATTGAGATAATGTACCTAAAACTAAGCACTGTGTCTGGAACATAATAGTAAGTCCATAGAATGATTTTTAAAAAAACGCCTCTGAGACAGCTGTGCATGCATTTATAAAGTCTTAAATCCTTTAAAAGTTAGGCTACAATAAATCTCAGCAAGAACATTTAAACTCAGCAATTAGAGCCAATAACAAGGATAAATTCTGGGTCATAGTCCTTCATATAACAGCTTCTGTGAGGGGATTCAGAGGATTAAATGTCTATTGGTGACTGAGCCAGCCTTAAATACTTGCAGAATACAAAAGAATATTTCTTAATTAAGTAAAGATAAATATTATTGATGAAGCTGCTTCTCTGTTCTATGGCCCCTCTGTCTGCAGACTCCAAAACTTTGTCTGAGATTTGATAAACTCTACTCATTATTACTTAATCCCATTAACCACCTTTAGTTGTTATGATCCAGAATGAGCACTGTCATCTTCAGGAGTGTTTAAATCCTCCTATAAATGGAGAGCCTTACTCTGGTAAACTTCGATCAGCTAAAGCTATTTGATAAAATGGTCTCTGATCTGATTACAAGGTAATCCTCAAAGATCTAATCAATCTGCTTACCACTTAAACATTTTCACTTTCTCTTCATTCGGCAGGGGTGGGGTCTCACTGTACCATAAGCATGAGGAATAGGCAGGGTGTGGGTGGCTGACGCTGTCCTCCTGACCATTGTGCTTCTTCTGTTCAACTACACGGGAAAATTGATTAAGATCGAAAACAACGTGACATGTCCTTCACTTTTTCCCAAATAGATACCAAACCAAATTCCTAAACACTGGTACTATTTTAAATGTTACTAATTAGGCCCATATTTTGTCATTTTAAAATAAAATAAATATGTCTTACCAGCAAAACAGAGAAATGTTTGTTGGAACTCTGGTTTAGCTGTTAGTTTTCAAATCCCTAGAATAAGTTCTTTGATTTGCATGTAGAATTTAGATTTTAACTGCTCCTTTAAACCTTGAAAATCAGACTAGAAAGAAATGGTTTTTTTTAAATGGCACAGATTTTAATATTAAATGAAGAACAGTAGACTAAAGCCTACTTTTGTAACATGGTCATAAACATAGTCCCAGATCTGTTTATTCAAGGATCTGCAAAGCATCAGTACTATGCCTGTATCTAAAACATCCAGATTTCTTTTTAAGAAAATATTTTATGTCAGTTTGTTGAATTGTTCAATGCCCAACTCCTGTCAAAAGCTGGCTAAAACCGCTGGCGTTTGAGGATGACAAAAGGATCTTTCCCACCTTTTATCCACTGGGCTCCCAGTGCTTTACCACCCAACTCACAGGTTAGATACTTGACATTTATGCACCTGGATTATATTACCCTAATTACCAATAGAAATGCCATCTGAGGACTGTAGTTTAACTTTGTGCCGCAAGCTTTTATTCAAGATAATTTTTAAAATCATTTTTGTACTGTATAAAATCCTTATCAAAGGTATTTGTCCTCTTTATAAAAATCCTTATCAAAGGTATTTGTCCTCTTTATAAAAATCCACAGAGAATATTCCTCTAAGAACAGTTTTAGGACTTTAGGACCTTGCTGACAATCTAGTATGCTTCTTTTTATAGACAATAAAAAGCTTTGTAAACCGTATCATCTTTTTTTTCCTCCTTCTAGATACCTAGGAAGCTCAGAGCTAAATTGTGTGCTTAGTTAACTTTTTGATATAAATATTCCCCTCCCTATTGACTTTACCCCCTTAATTACTAGATTCCTGAGGTTTTGTATTTGTTTTAATGGCTTTATGATTTTATCAGTATCTCATAATAAATTGCCAGCTGTCTTTGGAAGTGAGGTATACTAGTAGATTACCAAATATTTATTAAATACTTACATTAAATACTTAGAATACTCATGCTCTACCCACGAGTAGAATTGTTAGGTCAGAAGTATGTATATGTTACCCTTTTTTGTGGGGGGGAGGGTCAGAGGGAAAGGGAGAGAGAACAAAACATGATATTTGTGAGATGTGTTTTTGAAGACTGGATTCAAAAGATGATGGTGTTTCACTTCTTTTTAATTCTGTGGTCAGAAAAATAAAAGAACGCATAAGCATATCTACCATCTCTCATGTCATATTATTTACCAATAGGGTGTTTTTTTTTAATGTAACTATGTAAGTATGGTAATATAACTATGATTGAGCCCTTACCTTTGTTTAGTTGTTTGTCTCTAATTCTAAATTTCATTGATTAGGCTTCCCCTGAAAGATCTACAAGAACTCAGCAAAAAGAATTCCAAACTTATATTTTGGATAGTGTGATGGACCATTTGCTTGCAGCTGATGTTTTATTGGGTAATACTGTGTTTTATTTTCACTTTATAAAAATACCTAAAATCACTCTCTGTCTAAACTCCAAGTATATCTCCTTTTTAATTTTATCTTTTCTCTTCTGTGCATTTTTCCTTCGTATTGGTACCTTTCTCTAAAGAGAAAGAGGCCTGTCTAGCTCTTCCCTTTGAATCTGGGATAAAGAATCAACAACAGGTAGTACTTAAGTTGCTTGTCCACCTCTGGACAGTCGGGTGGCAGGAAGAGGACAAGTAAAGAGAAACAGTGTTATAAAAACCGTATTACATAAACAGGTCACATTTCTACAAATGTCTAATATTTTAAAAATTAACTTACTGTGATATACTTATAAATAAATTATAAACAGAAAGTTCCATGAATTATTGCCCAGACATCATGCCTATATAAGACCACTCAGATAGAAATGCACTGCAGGCACCCCACTTCCCTCCTGCCCTGATCCAATTACTGCTCACTGAATCACTGTCCCAACTTCTAAAACAACAGATTCATTTTGCATGCTTTTGAACTTTATAAATGGAATCATTCAACATGTATTTGTTGTAGTCTAGCTTCATATACTCAACATGGTATTTGTGAGATGTGTCCATGTTGTTGCCTGTAGCAAGAGTCCATTTATTTTCATCACTGTGGTATTCTATTTGAACATATAAATGTATCCATTTTGTTGTGGTTGGACATTTAGTAGTTTCTAGGTTGAGACAAATAGAAATAAAGCTTCTATAAATATTCTTGTTCATATGGGCGATATATGTGTACAATATTTATACATATGTAAGATATATACGCATGGGTAGGATTTTTAGGTCAGAAGTATGTATATGTTATCCTCTTGTTAGGGGGGAGGGTCAGAGGGAAAGAGAGAGAGAGAACCTCCACCCAGTGTGGAGCTGGACACGGAGCTCAACGCGGGGCTCCATGTGGGGCTCGATCTCATGACCCTGAGATCATGACCTGAGCCGAAATCAAGAGTCCGATGCTTAACCCACTGAGCCACCCAGGCGCCCCTATGTTATTCTTTAGGATGGCTTCAGGACATAAATTCAAAACACATTAAGATATTCTTTCTGTATGTCCCTATCTAGTTACAATAAAAATAGAAAACTTGATACATGTACAGTGGAGCTAACATTTATATATAAAATAATGATAGAATTTAAAAGAGAAGGAAAAGTAATGATTTAACATGTTTGCTACTTAAGTGCCCAGTAATATTAATCAAGGAACTTCCATCCTATTCAATTATCATTTTGTTGCTAAGTCAGTCTGCCAAGAAATCTTTAGTATTGTCTTTAACATGTAACTCTCAAAGCATGGTGTCAAGTCAAACTTCTGTGTTTGTTTTTATCACTTGAGAATCTTCTTTACACAGTGTCAGTCTTACTATGTAAAAACCCAAAATGAAGAGTTTTGCATAATGGAGTAACTTAGAGTTAGGTAGGAATAATAATTACACTCAGAGGGCTCCAGAATTTCTAGGAAGGAGGGACTTACAGAAGGCATTTTGGTTAGGAGGCTTAGTCTTGAAGCAGTGTGTACACAGCAAACACACTGAAGGCCACTTGGGTAGCTTTTTGAGGAGAAACAGAACTGAAGGTAATCGTGCAGGGAGGGAGAGGTGCCCCTTGGCCCCACCAGCACTGATTGTAGTTTAGTTTTCACAGTTGTTCTGAACCTCTCCTATATGACTTCATTGTGCTTGAAGGTATATTCAGAACCAGAGTTGTGTTTGATGGTTTGTTTTACCCTTTATTAGTTACACAGAATCGATTCACAGCTAATAACCTGACAGCTTTTTTCTCAGAGATCCTCTGTCACTGCCAGTTTAAGTTGAACTCTTTGCTTATCACAGATGGTCTCAAGCAATAAGAGACTTCACACTCTCAATCCATAACTCTTTTATCATGTAGAAATTATTTCTTCCAACATTTGTCAGGATTTCTGGCCACGAACATCATTTTCTTAAAGTAGTACATAAGAGCCTAGTGGTCCTATTTCTAAATGTAGTAGATGAACTCATTTTGCCTTAGCCTCATTTGTTGGAGGACCTGGTCTTGTGCTGGTTGATAGCAATTTTCTTAGATACTTTTTTTTTCCTGCTTGAATTTAGGGGAAGATGCATCTTTGCCTATTACCAGTGGAGGAAGCTACCAGGTATTGGTGAACAATGTGTTTTATTTCACACAACGTGTGGTGGACAAACTTTGGCAAGGCATGTTCAACAAAGAATCTAAACTTCTTATAGATTTTATAATTCAACTAATTGCACAGGTAATGTCACTGTTAGTTTTAGAGTACATGTTTTCCTTGAAAAACTTTTCCTAATGTGTCAAAATTATTGGAAATAAATGTAACTAATAAGATAATGTTAACATTTAATATAAAGCTCAGCTTATTGAAAGTGAATAAAAACTGTAGAATTGTAACCCTTCCCCTACTTAATCCGTAGCTTCGTGCCAACGTGTCCCTTATAAAGTTGCCTGGTTCTCTCAAGCTTTGGTCTCTCACTGATCTCCCCACTTTTTGCTACCCAGATACCTGGATAGCTTCCTTTTGGTTTATTTTTTATTTTATTTTATTTTTTTAAAGATTTATTTATTTGAGAGCGAGAGACAGAGATAGTGACAGAGAGAGTATGAGTGGGGGGGGGCGGTCAGAGGGAGAGGGAGAAGCAGGCTCCCCACTGAGCAGGGAGCCCAATGCGGGGCTCGATCCCTGGACCCTGGGATCATGAACCGAACCAAAGGCAGATGCTTAGCCGACTGAGCCACCCAGGAGCCCCTTCGTTTGATTTAAATACCTTAAGTTGGTGTAAGTTGATAAGGTTTTTTTTACAGTGCTCAGGCAGGCTGCTGTGCCTCCAGGAGTGTTAGCAGCTCTCTGCACTGGGGCATGAGGCTCTCATCTCATTAAATTATATTTATGTGTCTCCTGGGTTCTGATCCTCATCATTGCAAGAGCTTTTTAGTTTTTAACTTAGCACCCTGTACTGAGCATGGCACCTGGTACAAAATAAACCTAATGTTGATGTGTGAATGAGAAGCAGACCATTTATTTCTGTCCATTTTACTAAATAAAGTATCTTTCATATCTTTAGTCAAAAAGAAGATCACAGGGATTGTCACTCGATGCAGTTTATCACTGCCTCAATAGGACCATCTTGTACCAGTTCTCACGGGCACATAAAACTGTTCCGCAGCAAGTAGCTCTCCTAGATTCGCTCCGGGTACTGACTGTCAACAGGAACTTGATCCTGGGACCTGGGAACCATGACCAAGAATTCATTAGCTGTCTGGCTCACTGCCTTATTAATCTACATGTTGGAAGGTAACTTTTTCACATTCAGTTTGCCGCCATGAATTTATCTTTGATAGTTTTCCACCAAAATTCTTTGTTCTACTTTTTTGATAGTAACATTTCTTTTTCCTTTTAATCTCAGTTTTAAAACTTCATGGAAAATATAAAAGACAAGGGTTACATTTTTGCAATGAAATAATGAGTATTTTTTTCTTTAATTTTCTGTCTTTAAATTGGTCATTCATCACCTTATGTCACAAATATAATTTAAAAAGAATGTTTACTTTTAAAATAAACATACACATTGTTGGAGGTTAAGAGGGATAAAAAGAAAAGAATGTAATGAATAAATGCAGTGCTATATGTTAAATGTGTGAAATTAGGATTTTTCCATTGATTGCTTTGACAGATGCTTACTTAGTGTCTAGACACTGAATTAGGCACTGGGATGACATGTGAGCAAGAAAGACCCCGTGGCAGGGTTTTGGAATGTGCAGTCTAGGAGGGGAAACAGACCAGTCAGGTGTCCTGGGTGCTCTGCTAGAAGCATGGTGCTTTGGGAGCATGAAACAGGTGCCCCTAGCTGGAAGAGATACCTGCTGAGTTACAACCTGAACGTGCTTGAGGAGGTTAGCCCTCCACAAAGAATGAGAAAGAGTGATATGGGAACAAAGAGCCATCTGTGTGAGTGCCCAGGGGAAGGAAAGAATATGGCACTTTGGGGAAACTCCAAGTATTTCACTGGTACGGGAGCAAAGGGTGGTGGGATGAAAGACTGGGGGGAGGTGGTGCATAGGCCTATGAGGAAAATGTTCTTAGGAACTTTCTGTAATTTTTAGGTAAAAATATTAATAGTGATCAGAAAGCACCTTAAATATTAAGATGCTCATCTTGATGCTGTTGTTTAGTTTAATTACATTTAGTCAAGTGGATTTGTGAGATCACCCCTATAAAATGGCATGTTCTTGATAAAGTAGTTCTGTTTTTGGGCATCTGCTGAATATCTCTGTCTGCCAGTTATGGAACTTTGTGATGGAGCCAGCATTTACTTCTCTCTGCAGAGTTACACTTAATCATTATAGTTTTCAGCTACAGTCATTTCCTTCATAGAGTTTAAACTGACTGGAATTTTTCAGCAATGTGGATGGGTTCGGACTGGAAGCAGAAGCCCGCATGACTACATGGCACATTATGATCCCCTCTGACATTGAACCAGATGGTGGTTACAGCCAAGATATTAGTGAAGGTAATTACCTCAATTTGTTTTCTTCCTTTTCTCTCCCCACTCTCCCCATTTCCAATATTTTATTAAGAGAGAGAGCATGATCATAGGAGCAGGGAGGGGCAGAGGGGGAAGGAGAGAGAGGATCTTAAGCAGGCTCCAAGCCCAGCGCTTTAGCCCGACCCAGGGCTTGATCTCACAACCCTGAGATCATGACCCAAGCTAAAATCAAGAGTTGGACGCTTAACTGACTGAACCACCCAGGCACCCCTCATTTCCAATTTTTAACATACACCCTGTCCCCTCCCCAAAAAACTCACCTTAGATACTGCCAACATTGGTAGCCAGTGCTCCAATAGGTCACTCTTGAACATACACCAGTATGCCCACCAACGTAAACCAATCCACTAGCTGTAGCTCTCCTTATGCCAAGATGGGTAAACCACTTAACCACTGATACTGCTAGCCCCTAACATTCCATGGTAACACTGGGAGATTTGATGATACTTACATTTGCACAAATAGTAGTACCAATACTAACATGGCATTTACCATTTAAGAGAGCTGCCTATTGGTAGTGTTAGGCAGGTCTCATTAGAGGTGCAAATACTGCTTGAGACAGGTTGTTGCTGCTACCATTTTTATTCTCTTTTATTTGTTTTCTCTTTTAATTTAGTTTTCCCAGTGATTTTTATAAGTATTGTGCATTAAAATCTTTGGAGTGTATTCATTTCTGATTTGCACATTGGTCAGTAGAAGGTCATAACTGTAATAGTATTTGTCTCCCTAGCCATACATACAATGTGGTAGTTTTACATATGATTTTATCCTTTGGAAGTCCAGCACTTATTCTTTCCTTCACTTAAGCATTAATTTATTCTCTGTCCTTCACTAACCCATCTTGAAGCCCAGACACTGAGAACACCCCCAAGGAACTGACAGTCCAGAACATTGGTTCTCAAAGCAAGGTGCTGGGACTAAAAACATCAGCATCATTTGGGAACTTGTTAGAAAAGCAGATGCTCTGGTCCCACCCAGATCTACTGAATCAGAAACTGTGGGTGGAGACCAGCAATCTGAACAGGCTATTCAGGTGACTGATGCTTGCTAAAGATTGGTCTAGAGCAGGAGTCAGACAAATTAGCAAGGAATCCAAAACAAGATGGAATTTAATAGTAAATGTTCTTTTAAAATGTTTGTTAGGGCGCCTAGGTGGCTCAGTTGGTTAAGCGACTGCCTTCGGCTCAGGTCATGATCCTGGAGTCTCAGGATCGAGTCCCGCGTTGGGCTCCCTGCTCAGCGGGGAGTCTGCTTCTCCCTCTGACCCTCCCCCTTCTCATGTGTTCTCTCTCTCTCTCTCATTCTCTCTCTCAAATAAATAAATAAAATCTTTAATAAAATATTAAGGAACAACTAACTTAATTTTGATCTTATTTTAAATATTCAGATGTAAAGCTTTTTTATTTTAAAAGCTTACTTTTAAATGGGGGTAGGTTTTACATAGAAGAAGCTAGACAATGAAACGTGTATGTAATTTCCAGTTTTATAAATAAAAAATGCAGTCTTCTGCATACATAGGAAGATTTTTTTTTAAGTTCTCCAAGTACCCAGCCACATTGGTTAGCTGAATAATTTTCTTTATTGAGCTTAATACTATCTGAAGCATTTTTTTTGACAATTAAGTACTACAGATGAGATTCTTAGATGTAAGACATGAAGAAAATTACTACCTTTATATTGTGTTTTTGATAAATTGTTTTTTGTTGGTTTTTTGTTTGTTTGTTTTCCTTCATTTCCTAGGGCGTCAGCTTCTCATAAAAGCTGTCAATAGAGTTTGGACTGAATTGATTCATAGTAAGAAACAAGCCTTGGAGGAGCTTTTCAAAGTCACTCTACCTGTGAACGAAAGGGGTCATGTGGACATAGCTATAGCAAGGCCACTCATTGAAGAAGCTGGTTTAAAGTGCTGGCAGAATCATTTGGGTAAGAGGGTCCTCAGACATCATGTGACTAACAGATTTACATGCGACTGTTGTATATGGGTTCACTTTAGATACGTAATTAAAACTCTCCCAAAAGGATGTCATGACGGCGGCAGAAGTGAAAAGCAACACCCATTCTAGAATGACTATGTTGAGATTTGGCTTTTCTTCTCAGATTAAAAAAAAAAAAAAAAATTCTAAAACGTGTTACACATCTGGCATCTATGAATTTGGAAGATGATACATTGCTCACAGATGTGATTATGGTCTCTGTCTTGGCTATAAATCCATAATCCCTTCTCTATAATTCTGAAATTCAGAAAGCCCTGAAAACCTAAGGTTTTTTCATGAATTTGGTGCCCAAAATCACTTGGTAGCAAAACCTAACTTACCGTTATGTGTAAATATTCACACATTTTGCTGCAGAAATATTAATGTGTCCAGTTATGGTTTACTGCCATTGACCCTTGTATTATATAACATACAGTGTATGTATCATATCACCTTTTTATATTCAAAACCTTCTCAATTCCAGAGTATATGCAGCACCAAATATTTTAGATGGGGAGTTATGAATTGTTACTAACATAGAAACGGAATACAGTTAAAATAAGTTTGCATTTTACTGCAGAACTGTGAAGTTTCAACCAAATGTAAATTGAGCTAGTACATTAATTGTCAGGCAGCTATGCTTACACAAGATCACCAGCAAGTAAATCTGAGATATCTAAGAGAATGTCTGTGTCTATAATGTAAGCTGCTTTTGGCAACTACAGAATTGTGATTTGTGGCCATGATGCAGAAGTGTGAAAAGTAAGACTAATAAATACATGGAAAATTGTAAAGTAATCTAATTTTAATCTCGTAGCCCATGAAAAGAAATGCATAAGTCGAGGAGAAGCTTTAGTGCCCACCACACAATCCAAATTGTCCCGTGTCAGCAGTGGCTTTGGTCTTTCCAAGTTAACAGGATCAAGAAGGAATCGAAAGGAAAGTGGTCTTAATAAACACAGTCTTTCCACCCAGGTACATTGTTTGTTTTCATCGGTGGTATTATTAGAAATCTGTATTTCAAGGTTTAGCTGTAGTGTTTTATATAACACACTTAACATGTACAAGCACACGATTTGAAGTGGGACATTTCTGCATTTTTGCTTTTAGAAGAAATAACCCAGATTATGAAAACTTCTCCCAATTTATTATGATAAAATTGCATTGTGAGCGTTGTGTATGCAGACCCGCTTCGTAAATGGACATAAGATGAGATTCAGATTATTGATATGTGATCAAACTATGGGTAATTTTTTCCCCCCATTTTCCCAAACTTTTAATGATTTTGTTACTGATCATTATATAAATTTTAAAGCAGTAGCAGAACAAAATGTTTTTTTTATTCTTTATAATCTTGTCACATATATTTGTGATTGATTTTTTTTTTAAACTTACCTACCTCCATTAATTTCTTCCCCATCATACTTCCGTTGCCATCCTAGAATCTTAGTGGCAGCGGTGAAAAGGGTCTGGGAGAAACAGTGTGTATCTTTCATTCCCTATTTCAAGGTTGGGTTCTCCAGGAAGCACACTGAGAGGGTGTTTATTGCAAGATGGTTTTTACGGGTGCCCTTGTGGTCCATATTTGTGGAAGGGTAGGAAAGGAAGTAGGATTGGTCACAGGGAAATACCAGGTTACAAGGCAGGTCTAGGCTCAACTGACCTAAGTGGAACTTTGGGGCCAAAATGGCCTGTCACACTTGACCTGTACTGAGCTGAAATGGCTGAGCCTGCTTACCTTCAAATCAGCCAGTCCTGGGTTTGGGGTTTCTCTACAGCTGAGGTCATCCCTGAAGGTGCTGATGGCACTTGCAGAAGCTGTGGGAGCTAGCCTGGCCTTGAAGGGGCATAGGGATAAGGGGAAAGGGGGAGTGGATCTGTGCCTATCACACAAGCCTCCACCAGATTCATCATATAATTAATCTTTCAGTTTTTTGTTTTGCCTGTTTTGTTTTATAGTTGTATCTTTAATGGAATTTTAATAAATTTACTTGGCATTATTTTAAGGCTAGTTAACATTTTTACAGGAAAATCCATGAAATACTAAGACTCTTTTTCCATCCATTGTTAGGAGATTTCTCAGTGGATGTTTACACATATTGCTGTTGTCCGTGACTTAGTAGACACACAATATAAGGAATATCAGGAGGTAAGAATTCATAACCACAATAAAGGTTTGTTTTGCATTCCTCAAGTGAGAAAGAACTCTGTTTCTCATGATACTTTTTTTACCCCTTTTAAGAGTAAGTTGCTGAACTGCATTCATCGTCAGATGATGTTTTTAATGATCCCTGCCAATGGTTACTTTGGTCATTGTTTTTAAGATAGAAAAATTTGAACTTTCTAGAGGCAGATGGCATTAAAAAAACAACAAACTGAAAATCAGCACAACTGAATCCCATTGACATTAACTACTGACATATTGCTTGTGTTGTCCTAATAAATATTAAAATACAAGAAAATCCCTCTCTTTCAGACTTAACAAGGAGACTATGAAAATATGCATCAAAGTCTCTGAAAAGTCTCTTAAAATTCAAAAAAAATTTAAAGCCAAAATAATTTTTTATTGTAGGCACTTGGTGTTTATGTTGGTAAGAAATAAATTCAGTGAAATCCTCTTGGTGAATTCATAATTGCTCAACAACTTATCCTAAATATTTTATTTCCTAAATATTTTATTTCTAAGTGGCTGACTTAGATCTATCAAAGGTTTCTGAATGATAAACTGCTAATATTTTATGGGCATACATACACTAGCTAGTTGTTATAGGGGATTCACCCCCCCCCCCGCCGGAACACATAAGTACTACTGTGATATCATGTAATTTCAAGATTATTCATTCAGTAATCTTCACTATATAAAGAGATCTTTATTCTTAGATTGATATTATGTACATATAGTCCATGAACCATTAGATAAGGTAGTTATAATTTATAATCATCTGCTAAATTGCTATACATCTTGACATTTGTTAAATAGCAAGAAGTTATACTAGTTCAGAAATTTTCATTTAAGTACAATGGCTTAGATCTATCCCAGTGGTGAGTTGAAAATGGTTTTTCTTTTATTTTTTATATGAACATCAAGTTCTTTATCAGAGCTGCATGTTTATATCCTTTACTTAAAATCTTTGGAAATGTTACCAAGCTTACCAGTAAGCCAATATGCTGGCAATGTTTCTTGCTCTGATTTACTAGATCTTCTCCTGTCCATGTTCTAGTACCTGTTTTATAACTTAGGGGTGGGAGGGGGAGAGTCATCCTTAAATTACCATGTTTATCTATTGACTTACACTGGACTAACCATTTCAGTGTATTTTCATAAGTAGTATTACCAGCTGCTTGCTTCAGTGTTCCTTTGTCCTGGTGTACTACACCCTCTCCCTTTTACGTACCTGTCATTTACTTGGTGCTAAAGTAAACACTTGGGCCCCCACAACAATCACACCTTCTCACAAAATCAGTAGGCTACTGTAACCATAAATAAATATAATTTTACTTTCATAATATTGACTGAAATGATACGTACTGGTTTTGTTTCCAAATATTAACTTGGTTGTAAGTTATTTGTAGACTTTTGATTATTACTCCTGCTTTTGCTTGAAAACCAACCTGGACTCCCTCCCCTTAGCGTCAGCAAAATGCCCTGAAGTACGTGACGGAAGAGTGGTGCCAAATCGAGTACGAACTGTTGCGGGAGCGAGGGTTGTGGGGTCCCCCCATCGGCTCCCATCTAGACAAATGGATGTTGGAGATGACAGAAGGGCCCTGCAGAATGAGGAAAAAAATGGTGCGAAATGATATGTTTTATAACCATTACCCTTATGTGCCAGAAACGGAGCAAGAGACAAATGTAGCGGTGAGTATGCAGAATTGAGTGTTTCTAATGACTCTTTCAAGTTTCTCTTCTTCTTGGCAGGTGTCAGTTAAGGTCAATTACCTAAAATATCTAATTTAGGAAATTCACTAAGCTATATTAAATTCATCATGCAGGGTGGTGGTGGTGGTGGAATGCAGCAGGGAGACATGGAGCGAAGGGGTTTAGCTTCCAGGCTCTGGAGCCGGACTGGCAGGATTTAAACCCTGGCTCTGCCCCTTCACTAAGCTGGGTGACCGAGGACAGGCCATTGGGTCATCTTAGGTTCCTGTTTCCTGATGCCTAATGTGGAGAAAAAGAACAGTTCCATCTCAAAAGCTGTTAGGGTTAGGTTAATATTAGTGAAGCACTTAGTGCTTATTTTGTGCAAGACACTGTTCTGAGTGTTAAGCAAATAAATATTGGCATAAGCAATATTCTTTGAAGAAACACAGAAGAGGGCTAAAGAATAATAGCCTGAATATGTAGATCTTTCTGTGTATGTTAAGAAACTTCATCACTGATTCCACAGGTTTAAAACACAGCATTTGCCCATGAGTTTTTTTTTTTTCTTCAGACAAGTCACCCTCCCCAAAGCCTTTATTCAGACTTTTGCACGTGACTAGAAAAATTTTGTCTAAGCTGTTGATGGTCCAGGAATCATGTTTTTAAGTTTAGGAAAATATACTCTCCCAGTAAAGCCACTACAAGTTTAAAAGAGGAAGCACAAGAGTATAAAATCTACTGAATTTAATTCTGAAAATCCTTACAACATTTCTTTTTTTTTTTTTTTAAAGATTTTATTTATTTATTTGAGAGAGAGAGAGAGAGAGTGAGAAACAGCATGAGAGGGGAGAGGGTCAGAGGGAGAAGCAGGCTACCCGCTGAGCCGGGAGCTCTATGTAGGATGTGGGACTGGATCCCAGGACTCCGGGATCATGACCCAAGCTGAAGGCAGTCGGTTAACCAACTGAGCCACCCAGGCGCCCCTCCTTACAACATTTCTAAATAGTAATTCAACTTTTTAGTGTCCAATAATAATCCTTTGCCTCCAAAATGGAGAGTACTTTTGTCCTTAGAAAACTCATGTTTGTCATAGAAGCACAGCTTTGGGAGTTGAGAGGGGGTCTCACTGGTCATCTCATCCCGCCTCCTAATACTCTCATTTTAATGTTTTATCAATTACAGAGACATCATCAATGAAGCATCTTACCTGTTTTTGTGCCTTGTCTTTGAAATGCGTCTGTAGTCCACACTTAACAGCACATCTCAGTTGGGACTGGCCACATTTCACATGGGCAGCAGCTGCCGCAATGGACCGGGGCAGCTCTAGAGAGTCCCTGATTCTTAGACCGCTGTTCTGTGACTTCTTAAAAATCTATACTCCTTTTTGATAAACAAAGTTCTTACGTCTTCCTTTAATATCATTTAAATTTTTTGAGGTATCATTTAAAGTTTCTTAAAAATTAGTATTGTAACTTTAAAAAAATACAGTCTGGAAAAGCATATTGTAAGATTCCCCCCCTTGCCAAGCATCTGACTGCGCCATGCTTCATTAAGACAGAAAGGTGACTATCTCTCTAGGGAACATATCCCACGCTTTGTTTCACTTTAGTGTTTAGCTGCCTCTAAAATAAATCTAGTATAAACTCCTGTACCCAGTTAGAAACCCAGATCACTACAAAGAATCATCCACTGAAGAACATTTTCGGTTTGTTCTTCTTGGATGTTTGGATAATAGGATTTTAGAATCTGTGAGGTCATAAAGTTCAAACACTTGCCCAGTATAGAAGTTTTGTTATATTTTATTTTAAAACTTTATTTCAAACCCTTCATGGGTTTGAAATTCTTTCACATTCTTGACTTTATATTTGATTCTGTCACCAATTGAAGAAACTAAGATTTATAAAAGAGGCTTGGAACATGGGTCTTCTAATAAATAGTTTGGATTCTATGATGTGGGGGCACTTTGCATTGTTCCCGTCTCTTTTTTTTCTGCCAAAACCCTGGCTCCCATTTATTTTGTGGTCAGCGATTTCACTTCTATCCTGATACTTCTTAGAGTATAGGTCTTAGAGCTGCTAATATATATTATTTAAGATTTTTCAAGATAGCTTCCTAAAGTTCACTTTTCTCAAAGCTATTCCATTCTGTCAAGAATGTCATAGTTGGTACAGCTGTAACTTAAAGCACCATAATTTCTAGTACTACTGCACTATGGAAAAAAAAAAATTAATCCACCCATACTTTGTAACCTTTATCAGAACCTACTTTTGTCCGAGCAAACCAGTAATACAGTTTCTAATTCTTAACCTTTTTCCCCCAAATAAATACTTCAAGCCTGTAACAATTTGATAAAATATTTCTTATTGAGTCAACAATCATATAAATTGAATCCATTCAAGAATACTAAAATACAAGATAAATATATATGTTCTCCTATATATGGGACCAACTCACTATTTTTATTTAACTGAGGCATATGCTTTTGAGTTTTTTTTAACTGAGGCATATTTTTTACTTACATAACCATAATATTTTTATATTGTTTATTCCTTTCCTTCTTTATAACAGTGCCATTCACTTTATAAAAGTATATTTAAACTTCTGTATCAGATAAAAACAAAATAACCTATTCGGGGTTCACACTTACAACCTTAGTATTATTAGCATTTTACGTAAGCAAAAGCGTTCACCAGCCTGAAAAGTCTAAACAGACAGTCTCAGAAATAAGTATGTACCATATGGAACTTATTTTTTAACCAGATGGGTTACATATTGGGAAATACAAGGCAGTCAAGAAATGCTGGAGATACATTAACAAAAAAGGAAAGAGTGGGTGGGAAGGGGCGACAGTTACAGAATGTGGAATTTATGTGGCTTAGTTCATGCACGAGTCAAGGTTAATCTGCTATGATGAAATTTTCTGAATGACTGATTATTTTGGTCTTGCCAGTTCAAAATCCTTGTAAATTTGAAACGCCATTAAGTGTCCACTTTTATTTTATGGAATATGCAGTCTGGCAATGTTGATAGCAAAGAAAATTCCCAAAAGAAGAAGCAACTGCTATCCTACTGACTTCTATCATGAAATCAAAGAAGAGCCAGATACAAAGTGCAATGAGTGCGATACTATTTGGGAAAATATCCCAATTTTACAGATGAGGAATCAAAACCTAGAGAATGGTCTAGTTGCAGCTCCTAAGTAGTAAAGTACCATATAATGAGTATATAGGATGACAGTTCCTTAGAAGTTGAGTCATTTTGAGAAAGAGCTTCCAACCTTTGATGGTTTTGTGACCTTATTGGTGGACGGTGAATTTCTTCGACAGAAACAATATACTACGTTTTGTCTCTCTAATGCTAACAGAGTATCAAGAACTTAATAAATGTTGAATGAATGGACTACCAGCACTCTTTCTTCCGAAATTACAGACTTTTTCCATTGCTTTCCCATTCAGCATTCTGTAGAATTTTCCTAATTCTGAAATTTTTCCACTAAAAAGGACTAGAGCCAAATTACAAACTTTGGGCCTAAAGTTTATATAACTTGGCAGAGGGCTCTACAAGGAAAAAGGTATAAACTTATGAATATGAAATTACTTGAGCGCCTCTTTCCAAGGTTTTGAAAGGATCCCATGGGAAGTGAGGGCTGTTGAAGTTTTTAAGCTTTATTAACTTTATAGAAAATCCACCTCTACCCCGAACAAGATTCCAAATTACCTCCCAGAGTTAGAGATCAATCACTTCTTCCATTTCTGTTCCCATAAATGTGTTGCCTTCCTTGCCTGCGTGTTTATAAAATAAAGTCAGTACTTTTTGCAATGTAAGAGCTATGTGCCAACCTAAAAATTGCTTTGGAAGCCTCTTCTTGCTAGGTAAAGGAGGCTTTATCTGAGCAAGGGCAATTGACTAATCTTTTGCCTTTGTAAGAATAATTACTGTTCCTAAGTGGCATTGAAATTTTTAGTTCTGTTGCTTAAGGTGAAAGAATACAGTGATGATTAAAAGTTATTTTCTTGTTTTAAAATCTTCAGTGTGTTAGAAATGAATCGAGTGATTTTTTTTCTTTAGTCATTAAAGTTTTATTTCTTAAACCTTGATACTGTTACACATTGTATGCAGGATAGCTTACCTATTCTAAGTTTTGAACTTTGTTTCTTGATTTTTAAATTAGATGTTTGTTTATAGAATATAGAATATATCTTTAGAGTCTCATTTGCTCAGACTTAAAAGCTTTGACAGTTTATCTACTAAAATTATTTTAATAAAAGCAAGAGTAATAATTTTTGTCATGAGAAAAGTTAGGTACATGTGGAAACTTACCTATTCTCACATGAAAATAATTCCTCTTTGCACAGCGACTTTCCCTGTGGGGTAATTTCCATAACTAAAACAGCTATGCTAAATTGCACTGTAATTCTGTATTTTAAGTGGTAATGTCAGTTGTAGATATTGTTAAGATGTGAGCCTTGGGTATGATGAAAATACAAAATCCAGTGGCTCTTAAGCAATGGTCTCATTATTCTGAATCCTACGGAAGGAGAATGAGATTCCATATTTTGCCATTAAAAAAAAGAAATCACACTTAGATACAAAAACCAGGTTTTGATTTTGTGATCCCCTTATTTTCACAAATTTATTTTCATGGAATAATAATCTCAAACAAATTTATTGTTTGCAAATACTATTGGGGTGAAAACCCCACTATCTGCCTTTTAATTTGGGGCTGCTTGGGACAGAGGGGTAATTGACTTACTTGAAGGTTCCTTTTCTAATGAAGGGAGTTTCCTGTGGCTGCCTCCACAGATATTTTTTATGTAATATATAGATGTCATAGGACTCAAAGAAACTAAGCAACTCATTCAGGAAATTCCATTGCCAGCATTATAGAAAATTTTGAATAAAAAATGACTAGAGAATTATTTTCTAGAAATTCTGACTTTGAAAATTTAAGATTTCTGTGTAAACATAATTACAATAATTAGTTATAAAATTTTAAGTAAAAGAGAGCTATGATAATACTGAAATTATTGGTACAGCATATCTCTTTACTGTGGGTTGAATGCTGTGCCTTGGAATAAAATAAGAGCCTCAGTCAGTGGATCAGTGGTAAATATGTATTAAACCAGCACTGTACCGTATGTTGCAGAGAAAATAAGGAGTAAGCATGTCAGACCCTGCCCACATTCTGGTTGGGGATAAATAGTGGACATTAAAGTTGCATTTGACAACAGTAATGGGTTCATTTTGCTGTATTGGTCTATCACACATCCAGCAATCTATCTTGGGGGTTTTTTTTAATGAATTTCAGAGAAAGTTGCAGAATCAGTACCCTTCACTCCTTAACACTTCCACATGCATGTCATTAATTAGAGTTGAGTTTTTGTTTATAATTCTTTTTTTATTGACATAAATTTTACATACATTGAAATATACCCATCCTAAGTGTACCATCGTGTGTTCACATATTTGTATTTTATACTCGTATAGCCAAAACCTGTACCAAGTTAGAGAACATAGATGTATATTATAAAGATTATTCTTCATCACAGGTATGTTTTTAAAAGTTTGCTTTTAAAGAGAAACGTTTACTAAAACCATGTGAAGTATTTGAAAGTATGCCTAGTAGTCCAGTGTTTGTTTTGCTTAGGGAGAAAACATTTGTGAAATCATTTTGCCGATGCATGTTTACTGTGGGGAAAAGTACTAGATGTCGTCTCCAGCTAAAACTGAAAAGGAAGAAAAATTGGAAGTAGTATCATTGTCTGTATGTAGCTATCTGTGCATTTTTACATAAGCCACACATGACAGCTCAACAGAAGCTGCCCTCTTGTTAACTGAGATTTTATTCTAAGAATAAAATTTGAAGCAACCACCTAATATTTTTTAAAGTACTTTTTACAAAAACTTTTGGTCTGGAGGCTGATGACCCAGCCGCCCTTGTGCTTTCAGCCTTTCTGGGGTTATCGCTATGAAAGTAATAAAGTAGGCATTGGGCTTTTATGGGAGGATGTTTTTTCACTAATAAGCACCCTTTGATTTCTGTGGTATGGGGTATTGGAGATCATGGTGTAAACCAGTTGCTCCTGTTACAAAACAGATGTAGGGATAAGCACAGTGAAAGGTAGGTGGAGGGCAACAGCTAGCATTAGATTCTGTTATCCAGTTTTCAGTTTTTTCCTTTTGAAGCCATATAGAGTTGCCTGTCAATCATCCGTGACACTGGCCACCTGGGCTGAAGTTTTGTGTGAGACTTTTAAGTTAGTCCTGTTCAATAGCCTTGAGAGTTCTAGTGTATTTTCTACTTTAAAATTACTTTTGGTAATTAGAAAAAAATAATTATAAGATGCTAAGTGATTATTTCAAACAACTTAGGATATCATAATAATTTTCTTTGAGTGTGTGCATCTTCCATATTTCATACAGTCCTCACGAAAATTTTATTTTTGTGGTGTTCTTTATGTTGTTTTTTTCTGATGTATCTATACTTAATACCCTGTTTTCAGTCTGAGGTCCCAAGTAAACAGCCCGAGACACCTGATGATATCATTCCTCAAAAGGTAAAACACAAATTACCATAAGAGAATGCAAAATACTTGCAGTTTTCTTTGTTTTGTTTTTGGTTTTTTAGTGCATGGTAGGCTAGACTAACATAAAAGGTTGACTTTCAGTTTGTTCTTCCTCTAAGTTCCTTAGAGTTAAAAAGTCGGTGTCATCCGTGCTGAGAGATGTTCTAGTCTTGGCTTTGTTCTAATTAGCTTCCTAGGGCCTGTGTGCTGCTCACTAACAGGCTGAGTATTCACTGCTTTCACCGTAAAATGTATATTGCTTCACGTATAAACTAACAAGTTCTGACGCATGTTAGTAATGGGCAGCCTGACACCCTCAACTTTTTTCTTTTCATTTGCTCATTTAATTCTTCCAGATACTAAACTGTGTGTATCTTGAGAATGCAAGGAGTATCCTCTTTTAAAAATCATTTGTTCAATCAGAAGGAACAATGAAAACTAAGGTTATACATAGATCACTTTTTAAAATACAATTTTAACTTATTTTGTTTAAAAATTTACAATTGTTTTCTTTTTCCAGAAAGATTCAGTACGTAATTCAGTTAAGAAAAAAAAAAAAAAGGGAAAAAAAGGTAGTTCTTTAGAATGCAGAAATATACCTCAAAATATTTAGGGAAAAAAACATAGTTCCAAGTTGAAGTCAGTAACCAAGTAGATGTCTCACATCTATTAATTCATTGTCTTGCCCATCACTAACTATGCTTTCATCATTTTAAAAATGAACAGTTTTGAGTTGAAGATAACTGTTATACCTAACATCGAATTGGTATGGTACAAAGTTTACTACCTCTTCTTTCATTTAAAAAATACTGCAATATTCTTATTAGTTTGCTCATCAGATTGGTCCTTCCATCATTGTAGTATCATTTTACCTCATTTTAATACTTTCCTATGTTATATATTTCAATTTCTATTTATTGCATATCATTCCTCAGTTAGCTTGCAGCTCTCTTGATTCCCTGACTCTGGACCTGAATTTAAAAGAAGGGTAGTATGACCTCAGTTAGGTAGCTTTTTATCTTGAAATAGATTCAATATTTCAGTCTAAATATTCCAACCAATTGGACACTTGTTTTCCACTTGAGTTGTAAGTTATTTGTTTAAAAAGGTCTTGCTTGAAATAAGCATGATTTTGGATAATACATATTGACTACTTGAGTTGAAGAGTAGGCCAACAGAGTATTTTTAATTAGGTATTTTTATAAATGGGAAAGTGAAATAATGTTTAAAAAGTGAAGGGGTTTTTTTTAGTTTATTTAGTTTAGAGAAAGAGAACATGTGTGTGAGCAGGGAGAGAGGCAGAGGAAAAGGGAGAGGGAGAGAATCTCAAGCAGACTCCCTGCTGAGCATGGAGCCCACCGCAGGACTCAATCTCTAGACCCATGAGATCATGACCTGAGCCCAAATCAAGAGTTGGAGGCTCACCCAACTGAGCCTCCCAGACACCCCTAAAAAGGGGAGGTTTTAAAGCATATTTCAAACCCCATCTTTTTTTTAAATTGTTAATCCAAAGTCTGGGTCTAATTCTGATTGAGGAACCTGTATACATACTAAATTTTCCTTATGGTTTTACAGTTTTGAGGGCATTTTAGACCTTATTTTTTTCATTATGTTATGGTTTTAAGAAAAAAAAAAAGTTTAGGTTAGCTAGAGACTGTATTTTTAGGATAAATATTAACTCTTAAAAAGAAATGCTCTTATATCCTAGGCCAAAAATATCAAATCTTTTCTGATGTTTCTAGGTAATAAACTTCTTTAAGATGGACTTATATATGTTCTTAATATACTCATTTAGTTAATATATTTATGGAGCATATTATTTTACACAATAAACAACAAGGAGGTTTTAGCAAATTGAAGATACCAGCTTGGAGGAGCAGGCCAAGCAGAGAGCGCCATCGGGCCTGAAGCTGGTTGATTCCATGTTGGGTTAGAACTCGTGGAAGGTTTGGGCCATTTCTGGAGTTTTAGTGAGAACTGGGAATGTGGGGAAGAACAGTGCAGTTCTGAGTCTTTACCTCTAAGCATTGGCACAGAGGATTCCAACTGAATGGATGGGCTTTAGGCCTGACTACTTACTTTATGCGGGGTGGAAGCAAAGTTCCAGGCTCCACACAAACCAGACATCCTCTTGCAACTTGATGCTCTCCAACACTGGGTGTTCTCTTTACTGTTTAGGAAGGTTTTCTAATACATCAGTGAGGCCATGTCATACTAACATGAAAATGTTATTTGATTAGAGATGATTTATTTCTATTTCATGAAGAAAAACTGCTAATACTGTTTTTTTTTTATATGTATGTTTTAAAAATCGGTGCAATTTAAAAACAGAGAAACTTAACCCAAAAGTCTGTGGATTTACTGTGTATAAATGCAGTCTGTTAAAAATCCCTTTAAAAAGGTAACACACAAAGAAGTCTTGATACCATACCTTCCTCCAGAAAGCTTATATTTTAATTCTTTAAAATAATTATCTGAATCCTTTTCTTCCGTTATTTCTTAGAAACCAGCTCGATACAGAAGAGCCATAAGTTATGACAGTAAGGAATACTACATGCGACTAGCCTCTGGCAACCCAGCCATTGTCCAAGACGCCATTGTAGAGAGTTCAGAAGGTGAAGCTGCTCAGCAAGAACCAGAGCATGGTGAAGACACTATTGCTAAAGTCAAAGGTCAGCCTTCCTCTTTGTTTGAAATAAAAATCACTTTGGAGCATTTCTTGTATTTGAATTTTTATGAAAATAGGAGCTACTGTAAAGCGTAGGGCCAACCATATGGATAAAAGTATCTATACATATTTTACAATCTCACTCTTTTTAAGATGGATTTCTGTATGAGAACTAAAGAGACTGGCTCGTTATTGCCTACAGATGGATAGAATGTGCCTTTTGGCTTGATAATGTTTTTATTGCATTTGGCAGGATTCTCAGTGACACCTGACATTTTAATCTAAGGCCCTGATAACTAAATAAATATTTTGTAAAATTAAAACAACAACTAAATGTGTTATTTGTGCATGTTAGACAACAGTTAAGAAATCATGGTCTTTCTTCCTGTGAGCTAAGACAGATTATTCCACATCTGTGCTTTACGATCTTAGTAAAACATACATGAGATGATGAATTGGACTTCCTGATTCTGTACTTTTACATATGTGTGTGCCCTCTGCCCACGTCCTGCAGCTTCTCCATGATGTGGATCCTAACAAACCCCACCCAGCCTCGAAGACACTGGTCAAATATCAAATTATCCTTCTCTGAAAACTTTTCCCACTCTCCTGTCCACAGATAGCATTTGCTCATATCATAGCAATTTCAGTGATTTTTTCACTGCTTTATGTTTTCTAAATTATAAGTTTCTCAGAGGCAGAGATCATTTTTCTTCTCACTTGATGTTTTGGCACATACCTAGCACAAAACTGGGATTCAGTCAGTATTGAAAAGTAAATCAATCTATTGTTTTTTAACTCTTTTAAGCCTCTGATTCACGATAAATTCAAAAGTCCTTGGCATATTCTATAAACAAAGCCTCAGAATGTAGATTAAGAACTTTAAATTAAAAATCAGTTTCAGATCCCATCAATTAAAAAATTGATAGTATATGATGTCAACATGTCAACAAAACACACCATCAAAAATTGTGATCCAGGGCGCCTGGGTGGCTCAGCCGGTTAAGCGTCTGCCTTCGGCTTAGGTCATGATCCCAGGGTCCTGGGATCGAGCCCCACATCGGGCTCCCTGCTCCGCAGGAAGCCTGCTTCTCC